TATTAGCCCATACAAATATCCAAAAATTCCTTATATTTTAACAAACTATATAAGTTCTGTTGTGTGAATTATAATTTACGCATTCAGTCATTCTTGGTAGTTATATATGAGTGTTTCAACCTTTTGGAATCAAACTTGCTATCTGAGAGTTTTACTCATTTGCTAGTGTTCAATTCACCTACGCCATACCTCTAACCCCTCTACTTTCTTTTTGCCCACATGATTTGTGTGTGTGTGCGCGTGTGCATGCGCGCGCTGGTTCTGGGGCTTGAACTCAGGGCCTGTGCACTGTCCCTGAGCTTCTGTGCTCAAGGCTAGCCCGGCAGTTTCCAGCCTTTTTGGGGGTAGTTATTTGGAGATAAGATTCTCATTGAGTTTTGTGCTCAAGCCACAGCTCCACAGCTTTCAGCCAGGTTTTGATAGCTAATTGGAGATAAGGGTCTCCTGGAGTTTCCTGCCCAGGCTAACTTAGAACAGTGATCCATTAGATCTCAGTCTTCTAAGTACTTAGGATTACAAGTATGGGCCACTGCTGCCTGGTGCCTGCATGGTTTTTGAAGAGAACTCTGATGTAATTGTCACCAATATTCTTCTATAGATGAGGTGCCCCCCCCTACTTTCTTTTTTTTATTGTGAAAATACTGTACAGAGGGGATACAATTACATGGGCAAGATAATGAGTACATTTCTTATCAAGCATTGTAACCTCCTCCTTTGTTTCCCTTTCCCATCCCTTCCCATCCTCCCCCACCCCCCAGCTAATCCTCCCCCCTACTTTCTTTTAAGATTGGTTTCATCCTTTTAAATTTTAAAACATTATTTTATTATTATTTTTTTCTCAGTACTGAGATTTAAATTCATTACTAGGCAAGAACATACTCCTAGTCCTTTTTGCATTGTTTTTTAAAAATTTTAAAATATTTATTATAAAGGTGATGTACAGAGGGATTATCATTTCATGAGCCAGGTAATGAGTATGTTTCTTTTTGGGAAGTGTCACCCCTTCCCTTGCTCTTTCCCAGGTTTTCCTTCCCATCCCACCAACAAGTTGTATAGTTCATTTTCAACATAGTACGATTGCTGCATTTGTTCATCGTTTGTCCCTCCATTTCTGGGCATTCCCTAACACTCCCCAAAACAAATAAATGAATATATAGAACAAAAAGAAAACAAAAACAGCAAGAAAGAAGAAGAGTCTTGTTTTCATTTCCTGGAGTTCATTTCGATAAATATTATTTTGTATGATCAGATGCACATAGGCATTGTGCCTTTCTGTTCCTCTCCTAATAGTATTCTGCTTTGGTCTCACTGTGTGTGAATGCCTCGAGACCTGTATAATTTATGATGTCTCAGTATTTTAGTTCTAGCTTCCATATATGAGGGAAAACCTGCCCTGCTTATCTCTCTGACTGTGCATTAATTTTGTTTTTAGAGAACATCTTTGGTCCCAGTGGAAGACTGTAATGTCCTTCTTCTACTTTCCTAGGAGTTTGAATTACAGAAGTGTACCACCATGCCCCTCTGTTTGGCTTTTTCCTTTTAACATAAAGCCACACATGTTACATAAAGACTTACATCATTTTCAGTATAAAAATTTGTTTATAGTAAAAATGAAATCGATTTGAATAGAACTCATTTCTTTTTATGATTATAATTTATTAATACATTGGTTGAAGCAATGAACAGGATTCTCTGTAATAGTTTATAGGCCACATTTCTATACATGTATGTAAATGAAGTTTCACAGTAACTCATTGAGGCCCATGAGGAGGGGATTCAATCACACAAGGAGTAGTTGAAGGATTGGATGGAATGTTCTAGACTTAGACCTCCAATTCCTCTCCCCATTCCTGTCATCACCCTTTTGATTTCTCTTATCATTTATTCCTGTCTAGGCTGAAGTACTAAATAGACAGTGAAAAAGACAGCAAATACCACAGAAAGGGCATCAGTGGTTCATGTCTGTGATCTGTTGGGATCTCAAGATCAAGGTTTGATGCTAGCCCAGGAAGGAAAGCCTATGAGACTCTTGTCTCCAATTAACCACCAAAAGCCCATTATGGCACCAGCTTTGGACACAAAAGCTAAGGATCAGTGCCCAGGCTCTGAGTTCAAGCCTCACACACACACACACACACACACACACACACACACACACAAGCGAGGAGTGGAGGTGTGGCTCAAGAAGTAGAGTATTAACCTTGAGTCATAAAAGCTCAGGGGCAGTGCCCAGGGTCACAGTTCAAGTCCCAGGACCAGCACAAATAATTACCACCATCAACAACAGCGATAACAAAGAAAAACACAGGGATTCATAATCATGATCATAGCAGTGCTGAGAGAGACTCTTGAGGATGTGAGCTAGAGTGAGGGCTTAAGAATCGTGATTTAGACAGGGGAAAAAGGAAGGACAGTGCTTCTATTACTACATACAGAAATTCATGAAACATCAGCAGAGAAATCTGATGAGTAAGGCCAAGGGGACAAGGAAACGGGGGAGCTGCTTTACCCTGGAGTTAGGGAGGCAGATGACATGTGGGTTAAACCAACTGCAGTGAAAGAGAAGTACCCTGAAGGAGGAGTCTCCTGCTTCTACCTGGAAAAGTGCTCCATCAGCATCCTTCTCTCTCATTGCTGCATCCTTTTCTAAAGTGACAGTCAGGGCGCTGCAGGAATCAGAGCGGAAATGGGCTTTGCTTATTGGATGATGGTCTAAATTCAGAGCGAAAGAATGTGGTTGGAGACAGCTGGTGGAAACGATTCCAGTCCTGTCTGTCCTCAGTGGAAATGTCCACGTGCGCGCTCTCTCTCTCTCTCTCTCTGGTCTTTCTCTCTGTCGCTGTCTCTCTCTCCCCTTTTCTTTTTGTGTCTATTTTCCAACAGGACTTACTTTATTTATTTAGCTAAGTGGCCGAGGAACGCCCGTTTGCTTCCCCCCAGCTCTGCTCGCTTGCCTTAGTGATGCACGCTAGCAACTCGAGTGGTTTATAAGAAGTAGAACTTCCTTCCCAGCTTCTTGTATCTGGGCAAACCTTGCCCTGCACCACTGCGGATGCAACTGCTGTAAATACCACGGGGCAGGGCTCTCTGGGCTTTAGAGACTTTCAGGCTAGCCAGGCGCACTGAGCCAGTGCCCGGACACTCAGTGACCCCAGACTGCGGCAAAGGGGGTGGGGGAGGTGGGAGTGGAAAGAGGGGAGCATCACCTGGCCTTTCCCTCCCCCTCCCTCGTGCTGCGGGAGCCTGGCTTCAATCCGGGGGGGGGGGAGGGGGGGAGGAGGGAGAGGGGGGGGCAGGGGAAGGTCGGTGACACCTCCAGCACCGCCCCCTCCCAAATCTGCAAATTCATTGCTACCTTTCTAAAAGTCCCAGGGCCAGCCCCAAGCGTCACCTCCAGTCTTTACTTGCAAGGCAGATCCGACTTCTCTCCCAGAAACGGTTTTGATTAGCACCCTTTCCCCAACGCCGCCCCATCACAAGAGGCCCAGTCTCCGCTTTGGACTTTTGGATCTCATTCGTACCCGGGTCTGGGAGCTGAGCTCAAGTCCTGGCAACTTTGACCATTCTGACCCTAGAGTCGGGCCGTTTCTAAGGCAATTTAAACAAAGAGGGAGGGGAGGCGGGGGGGGGGGGGGAGATGGAGAGACTGAGTCCCGAGGGCGGGCTTGCTGGGCGTGTGTGTGTGTGTGTGTGTGTGTGTGTGTGTGTGTGTGTGTGTTGGGGGGCGCTCCGCTCCGCGTCTGCAGCCGCTTGGGGGACCACGGCGCGGACGGGTGACCCTGGGCGCCGGGAACGCCATCGCAGGGCCGGGTCCCTGGCAACCCCGGGGCAGCGAGTTTCTTTGTCCCTGCCTCCTGCTGGCTGCGAAGGCCTCTGGCTGCCAGCAAAAAAAAAAAAAGCCGGAGCGTTGGGACTGGGGCTCCAGGCTTCCACGTGCCTCCCGGCAGGACCGAGCCGAAAGCGGCGCCTGGCAGCAAAGCACCTCGCCTCTCGGGGTTCCGCGGTGAGCCGTGGACCCGTAGAGCGAAGACCCTGGAAATCCGCTTTGGACTTCTCGAAGCCCAAGCCAGGTTGGCGGGGCTTGGGGAGGGGGCGCGTAGGGGATCGATCTCCTAGAGCGTTCTTTGCACCCAGAATCTCCGAAGACGCGCGCGTGCGTGCGCGCGCGAGTCGGGCGCAGGTCCAACTCCAGGACACAGAACATTTGGGGTCCCCCTTCCCCCTACCCCGCGACCCACCAACAGTACCCGAGCAAGGGGATCCGGGCGGCGGCGGGGTGGGATCTAAACATAGCCCCATTCCATCCAGAGATGCCCTGCGGAACGTCCCTAACAAAACCGAAACAGTGTCCACAACGGCGTGCGCGCGCGCGTGTGTGTGCGTGTGCGCGCGCGCGCGTGTGTGAGAAACTGAGAATGACTTACCTGCGATAACCCAAGGTGTGCGACCCAACCCCCCCAACCCCTCCCTTCCCTTCAACTCCCTCCCGTCCCATTTTAAATAAGGCAAGGCCAGGTTACAGAGTCCACGTGAAAATTACTTTTCCAGTTTCACTCTGATACTCCATGCGCGTGCGTGCGTGGAGCAAGCTAGATTTTTTTTTTTAAGGTTCTGGTCTGATATTTTCCCCCCCCCCCCGGTTCTGCAGGAGAACTTAGGAGTCTCATGAGACCCCCCCCCCCCCCCCCCCGCCATTCCTTCCTGCCCTTGGTTAGGGGAGGCCAGGCCTGTTCTCTTTTCGCTCTTCTTTCTATAAAGCAGAGGTTTCCTTTTCGCTGGTCTTTCCCAAGAAGTCCCGCGCTCGGCCGCCGCGCGCTGCGTGCGCCCCAGCCTGCCGCAGAGCCCAAGCAGGCAGCACGGCGGGCGCTAGGACCAGGGGGGAAGCTCGGGCGTTCCCCCCCTCTCCCTCCCTCCTCCTCCTCCCCACCCGGCGCTACCTTAAACCCAGCCCAATGCCGCTGCCTGCGCCACTCTGCGCGCCGGCGGGGGCTGCGCACGAGGAGCGCTCCGCCCGGCTACACCGCTCCGCCAGCCGGCGCGGCAACACCTGTTCGCGGCTGCCAGGGCGGCACGCGAGCTCCGGGACGCGGCTCTCTCCGCTCGCCGCTCACCGCCTGCTTCCCGAGCCAATGGATCTCCGCAGAGCCTCTGGAGAATTCTGGATACTAGCTTTGGATGCCTAAAGTTTTTATTTCCCTCCTCTTCTTTTTGTTTTATTATTATTATTAATTATCATCATCATCAATTATTTTTGGAAGGGGTGGGGGAGACAAGGAGGGGGAGATTTCTCGCCGCTACCAACGTGAGATTTATGATTATTATTATTATTAATTATTATTAATTTTTCCTCTCGGGGCGAAGGATTCATGCTGATGTCTGCAGAGTCGGTTAGAGAGTAAAAACAGCGCATGCCTTCCTTGGAGTCAGGATCCGTAAATTCTGACGTAGCCTGAGCATCTTAAAAAAAAAATCTCTTATCATAACGCCTGAGCATTTTCTTTTTAAAGTTGCTATGGTCATTCTGATCTCAAAGCAAATGGAGCCACTACGGATTTTCTCCCTTATTCCGGTCGGATGGGATGAAGACCTTGCAGCTTGCTGAGAGCCAGGCTCTGTCTGTAGAGATACACAGATACGATGATCACGATGTCAGTGTGAGAGTATGAAGCCGTGGTTTCTTAGACGATCCGTGGTTTGACCTTGAACCGGTGCCAGTGAAACAGCAGATTACTTTTATTTATGCATTTAATGCATTGAAGAGAAGAGCCTTGCCCCCGCCCCCTCTCCTCCACTCACTCTCTGCAACTGCAGTAAAGGAAGGGAGTTGGATATACCTCGCCTAATATCTCCTGGGGTTGACACCATCGTTATTGTTTATTCGCGTGCTCCAAAAGCTGGGTCCTCTGATGGCTCCCTTAGGTGAAGTTGGGAACTATTTCGGTGTGCAGGATGCGGTACCGTTTGGGAATGTGCCCGTGTTGCCGGTGGACAGCCCGGTTTTGTTAAGTGACCACCTGGGTCAGTCTGAAGCAGGAGGGCTACCCAGGGGACCCGCAGTCACGGACTTGGATCATTTAAAGGGGATTCTCAGACGGAGGCAGCTCTACTGCAGGACTGGATTTCACTTAGAAATCTTCCCCAACGGTACTATCCAGGGAACCAGGAAAGACCACAGCCGATTTGGTAGGTATAACCGTTAACCCTTTGGTGTCCGTGAGATGACACGCTCGAATTGTAACTATCAAGGAGGTGGTGGCTGGGCGGAGGGGCTGGGGGGGGGGAAGGGATGCGGGAAGGGAGCGCTCTCTCTCTCTCTCTCTCTCTCTCTCTCTCTCTCTCTCTCGCTCTCTCTCGCTCGCTCGCTGGCTCTCTCTCATCTTGCCAGCTCAGGGAAAAAAAAAAGCCTCCGGAATTGCAGATCTGCTGCTGCTGCTGGCAGGGGTGCAGCGTCTTTGCTGAAAGGCCATTTTTTTTAAGGGAGAGGGGCATGATTTATTCATATAACAGTGATCTTTTATATCAGATAACTGGGAAGCTCGGGTTTAGTAAGTTTCTTTTGAATGGACTGATTCCACGAGTTTAAAGCTTTAATCATTAACTACTGAGAACTTAAAAAATGCATTCCGTTTCCTGCAGGCGGTAGGTAGCTCGTGTCCAAATTAAGGTTTTTCTTCTTCTTCTTCTTTCCTTTACTGCTTTGCCCTTTCCTCTAATTGGGATTCGGCTTGAATTGTAAATTAAGCGTATTGTTTATTCCCCCACCCCCACCCCCTCCACGCGGGTCTACAAGCCCCGTAGGCGAAGATTGCTGACTGATTGTTCTGTGGAGAGGGAGGACTTGAAGTCGGATTTTAGACTTGGTGAGCAGTGGGGCTGAGGAGCTCGAGGGGAAAAAAAAATGACTTGGAAGAGACAGAAAGCTTACCAGAGTGTTGTTCTTCTAGACCAGGACATAACCTCTGCTTAAAAAAAAAAATTCCAGAGTGTGCATCTGGAGTGGGTTTCCCGGGTGGCTCTCTGGTGTGCGAGTGTGCGCGCGCGTGCAAAAGCGGCGAGCTAATTTTCTTTAAAGGGCATTCGGAGGATTTCACTTGCCAAGGAGGGTATTTGTGACTCAGCGCTGAGGGCTGCAGACTCGGGGAGGTGACTCTGCCCACTTTCCTGCCTCGCACACACGTGCCTGCGGGGGCACCTTTAGTCCACGGCGATGAAGTCAATTAACACAATCTTGGTTGAGGTGGCAAGGGGAGAGGGGTGGGGTGGGGGTGGGTGTTTCTCTTTCTGTCTCTGTTTCTGTCTCTATCTCTCGGTTTTTTTCTCTCTCTCCCTTCCTTAAAAAAAAAACCAGAGTCAGTTTTGGGCAACCATGCTGTTAGAAGGAGTTAACTTCTGAGTGAACCCAACTGACAACACAAACTAGGTCGTAAAAAAACCCCACAAAGTCCGGTGGTGATTTTTCTCCCTCGTGCCTTCATGCTAGAGCTGGGTACCACCGAAACGACATGCTTCGCTTTGTGTGAGGCCGTGGATGGTGTCAGGTGAGAGGGGTTCAGGTCTGGGATGGAGGACAGTTCCAGATGCCTCTCTGAGGCCCAGGGTTTTTAGCCTCATCTCCTTTGATTCGCAGCTGGCTGGCTTAAGACTAAAGCCCAAAGCAGAAACCCCAAGTTAATGGTCTCTGGTTGCCTCCTTATGCTGCTTAAACAACACAACCACAACCCCCCCCCCCCCAAAGTTGTAGCTCCTTCCCGTTGACTTACAACGTTCCTCCCACCACCCCAGAAGTGTTGCAGAGGAAGACTTCAACTTTACTCCAAGTGCTCTCTTTAGCTGGCCGCTTTAAGGGCTGCCATCGAGCCTCGCATTTGAGACTAGAACAACAGGCAGTGGGCGGCCCCAGGTTGGGAGAACTAGCATGCCACCGGCCGCAGTGGCCGCCCGCCGGGCAGCGGGGGCCGCGGGCAGCGGGGGCCGCGGGCCCCGGCGAGCGGCGTGGGCGGCGGGCCTAGGTGCGCCTGGCAGCCGCAGCCTCCGCCTCCCGCGCTCGCTAGCGGCCGGCAGGTGCCGGCTCCGCCGCCGGGGCCCCGCGGCGCTCTCCGCGGCCGTCCGCCCAGCTCCGCGCGGTCCTAAGCGCCCTTCGTTCCGGTCTCCCTTTTCGCCTAGCTCTGGTGCGCCCTTCAAGCGGCAGCCGGGGACCGCTTGTGTGTGTGCGCGGGTGTGGGGAGGAGGAGGAGGCGGGAGGGGAACGCGGCGGGCGCGGGGGGGGGGGGAGGGCGGCGGATATAATTTGAGTCGCATTTAGGGACCCCCCTCCCGATCGTTCTTATTTCGTTATTTTTGCCCGACTTTCGTCCTTTCGTTTTCTCTTTGTGTACGAGTGCGGGACGAGCGGGGCAGGCGGCCGCGCCCCGGGGCTTCCGGCGCGGTGGGTTTGCGGTGTGGGAACGGCTGGAGGCGCGGTTGGTGGCGGCGGCGGCGTGGGGAGGGCATGGGGGGGGGGGAGAGTGGACAAGCTAGTGACCAGACTCTCCGGCTCCGCGTCTTCATCTGGGGTCTCCCTCCCTCCCTCTCTCTCCCTAGCGCGATCGGGGTTTGGAGAGTAGATGGGGTCTGAGGCGCTGGGGAGGTGAGATCGAGGCACACCCCCCCCTCCCTGGGCCAGGCTGGGCCGGAGTCACCGGGGAAGGGGGGGGGGTCACGATGGGGTGGGTGACCAAGTGAGCCGAGGCAGTGGAAGGGGAGCGGCGCGCTATTGTTAACTGTTCTGCGCCGAGGAGGGCTCTGGGTCCCACCGGCTTGCCTTTCCAGCATCCTCCCCGCCTGGGCGCGGGCCTCTCGGCTCCCGGAGGCCCGGTGCGCGCGCCGGCGCGCGGCGAGGGCGCACGGCAGCCGGGGCCGGGGCGGCAGGCCGGGGCCAGCTTCATTGTGTGGATTTCTCCGCCACAACCCTAGGGTGGGTGCAGCACCACGGGGAGGGGGGGCGGGCAGGCGTGGGGGAGATTATGGGATGTTCTATTTGGGGGTGCTCCACCTCGCACCTACCCTCCAATAGCTTCCCCCCCCCCTTCTTCTTTTTAAAGGTAATCACCTTTAGGATAGGACGTTTGCCATTCGCAATCGAGTCATCAGCAATTCATGAACTCTACCGAGGGAGGAGGGCAAGGGTGCCAGGGAGGTGCCACGCGGGGGGGGGGGGAGGGCAGGAGGGGGCGCGTTCGGGAGGGGGCGGGGAGAGAGGTCGGCGGGCGAGCCCTGCAGGTACGGTTCAGTGGCTGGAGTGGAGGCCGCGAAACAACTACCCCAAAAAGGCGAGACCTCCTCACCCCTCCTCGATCCTAGAGGTTGGAGAAAGGTGTCGCCAAGGAAGTGACATCTCCCCTCAGACTCGCTTGCACAGTGTGTGTGTGTGGGGGGGGTATGATGGGGATGGGTGTTGCTGGGAGGGAGGGCGGGGGCGGAAGCCCCTGGCCCCGGGTTACAGAGGGACGGGCAGGGGGCCTCCCAGATCGGCGCAAGCTGGCGGGTAGCTGTGGAGTCGGCTTGAGGCTGGAGAGGAGGAGGGAGGGAGGGCGCGCCTGGGCGCTCTGCGGTGCCACTCACCCGGGTTGGGATGGAGCTGAGTGGGTGGCTGTGCGCAGTGGGGGTGGGGAAGGAGGGTGAGGCAGGAGGGTTATTTAAGTCTTTCATCCGGTTGCAGTGAGAAACAGGCCCCCGGGGGTGACAGCAGTGCCGCGGTCTCCCGCTGGTTGCTGCTGCTGCTGCTGCCGCTTGCTGCGGCGGCAGGTCCCAATATTAGCAACCTCTGCAGCGCGGTGCTGGTGCCTTAGGAGCCTCCTCCTCGTCTTCCTGGCCCCGCCCAGAGGGTGGCTGGGGCGGCGCTAGGACCCTGCGGCCCCAGCAGGGAGGGCGGTGGGAGCCAGCAGGGCCCGGGTGGGGGCGGAGGGGCTGCGGCAGGCGGTCACACCTGGCGCGCCGCACCGAGCGCAGCCGGGGCCTCACCTTCCGCCTCCTCCCATCACCCCCTGCAGCGGCCGCCTGCTCACCCGGGGGACGGAGTCTGCAGCCGCAGCTTCAGAGTAGCTGTGGAGGGAGGGGGAGAGATGGGGATGAGGCGGGGTGGGTTTACACCTTGATTGCAATGGGAGGTGCATTTTTCTCTACCTGGCAAGGAAAAAAAAAAAGATTTCTGCCGTCCCCACCCCTCCACCGCCTGCAGCTGCAGGTGACCGCAGCTCCGGGCAAAGCCTGGCGGTGACACAGCAGCAGTGCAGGGGACTCGGGGGTGGGGTGGGGGGAGTCTTACCGCGGTGCAGGCTGGAGCGGACAGCTTAGGAAAGGACCTTGAGGGAGTCCTTTGTCTCCTCCCCCACTTGGGGTGGGGTTTGGTGTGGCCTTTGAGGTTGGAAAAAGAGAAAAGGCTCTAGGGATGTATCTGGGCTATTGAGTTCTCTCTTTTCCTATACATATTGGCACTTTAAAGCACTCCAGACTTGCTAGTTGGTAAAAAAAAAAAGTGAGCAAAATAATAACTAGGGCAATGGTGATATAGAGTAGCCAAAAAGTGAATGGTGCCCACCTCTCCCTTCTGTAATCCTAGCTAATCAGGAGGCTGGTTCAAAGCCAACTCAGGCCAGAAAGTCCAGGGGACTCTTCTCTCCAATGAACTAGCAAAAAAAAAAAAAAAAAGCCGGAAGTGGAGCTGTGGCTCTCGTGGTAGCATCAGCCTTGAGAGACAAGTCTAAGGGACATTGCCTAGACCGTGAGTTCAAGCCACAGTACTGGCACACAACCATTGAATGCAGGGCCTGTAAAAGCCTAAGCTGGCTCACCTCCTCTTCAAGTGGGATGGTAGCTCTGTACTTCATCAGCACTCCAACTCCAACCTAGCCACTCAAAGGGAGCAGTGTGTCAGGTGGGGGTTGCATTAGAGTGAAGAAATATGATGGTATGATTTATTTAAAAATAAAAACTGGCTTAAAATTCTTATTTCCAGCTTTTGCACTTAAAATTATGTTCTTTTTGTATGGCTCTTCAATGATCTCTCTAGAGGCAAAGTCTGCCTGTATAAGGAGCTGTTTTACAGCTTACTTAGGATTCTTGAAAACTCTGTGGGTCTCTATCTCCTATTCTCCTGGTTATTTCCTAAGTAAACTCAGGTTTGATCATCTCCCTACAGGTCAACT